TCAGTTTGAAACTTATGACAAGAGGTTGTTAGTAATACTTTTTTTCAACGTAGACCAGAAAGTAACCGTCCTTAGCAATAAAAATAGACTAGCAATTAGAAAGCCACCAACTCCGGAAAGTGAAAGACTCCTGAGCATCCAACACCCTTCCCATCTTAATAAATAAATAAATAAATAAATTAAGAAAGCCCTACATGTTGGCCAATACCCTTCAGAGACTGTCGTTATCGTCACATGTCTGTGTACACTATGATGGCAAGGACTTCCTCCTGGTGATCATGTCCAGCAGGACCCATCATAGACTCCCAGGATAATGGCTAAAGTAAGAGCTAAAGATGCTACTGAAGTTTCTGCTCAGCTCACTCATCCAAGGCTCCCCTCTCTACTAAGACCCGGACATGAGCCAGAGGAGGTGGATTTAGGCCAGTTAGAGTTAAGATGGTATCATTAGCTGTGCACAGCGTGACTTCCCGTTAATCCCGTCTAAAATTTACAACAAGTTTAAATGTCCATGCATGATGTTATTAACTGGCTTTAGTAAGTGCTTAAGACCCAGATCTTTCTTTTTCTTTTTTTTAACTAATCTCTGAACAAGTTCTACTGTATCCACCCAACAAGGAGATTAATAGTTCCAGCAAATCTGATGGAGTGAAGATACACGAACTCCAGTGGACCACAGGAGTAGAGGTGGGTGCTACTCCTGGAGACCAAGTGGGTGGACCCAAGTTCAAGAACGCCCCACACGAGGAGTTTTCCTGCTGGAGGGGTGGAGGATTCTTTTCTGTTAGCAGCAACTCACTATCTTAAAGAGGGGAGAAGAGAAGGAGGAGGAGGAGGAGGAGGAGGAGGAGGAGGAGGAGGAGGAGGAGGAGGAGGAGGAGGAGACATCATTTCGTGGGGGGGGGGGGGGGCAGGGCTAGAAAAAACTCAGAAGAGAACACCTAACCCGCCTGCCAGAAACCTTTGTCTAAAAGAGACTAACCCTCAAGGCCACCCCGTCCGCAAGCTCGGAGATTCCTGAGCAAAGCTGTTCGCAGAGGCACCAGCAGGCCAGGTCACTGGTACCCCGCCGAGGGATAGGCAAAGCACATTCATCAGCACTCCTGGATGCACTCAGCCCGCTGGGCAGAGGAGGGGCGGCCTGGGCAACACGGCCTTGCGGGGGCCCTCAGCCTCCAGGCGGCCGAGCGCGAGCACGTGAGCTCCACCAACCCAGGAGGCCCCCAACCCTGCACCCGCGCTGCAGTGTTTCCCTAGCCTCTCTGGCGCGCACCAGCCAGGAGCGCGCGCGCCGGCGCACCAGCTCCCCCAGCTCCGGCAGTCGGTCTCCCGGGAAACACCAATCAGACGCCCGCTTTCTGTCACCCGTCGCGAGCCGCCGCATCTGAGGGAGGACTCCGGCTGTTGGCCGGTGCTGGCGGGCCTTGTGATGCCCAGCGGCAGACCGGCAGCCTCAGCCACTGCCACTGCCTGGCCCAGCCACTTCTGCAGCCAGTCACACCACCCACACCAAGCACCTTGCGAGGCGAAGCCTGGCTATTTTTAGATCTCTAGACTGCGTTGTGCAGACGCCTCGATAGAACCAAGTCAAACCAGCAAGCACAGGGATGTGCTTCTCTTTGAACTGATATGGCTCTCAGAACCCCCTATTTCTCTGAATAAAGTCGATTATCTGCATATTTTAAACTCTACCCCCCGTGGTCTGGCAGTTGGCTGCAAAGCAGAAAGCCACATGTTTCTACCTCAAAAGATGGCCATCACATTTCTAAGGAAGCACACTAACTCCTGCCCTGCCGAGACTCTGAGAGCAGGCAGATATTCCTTAGCAGCTATAATAACTGTATTCTTGCATTTTCATTCACCATTTTAGGATTAATTCCACAGGAAAGTCGAATAATTCCCAGAAGGGATGAAATAGGTTCTCTAGGCAAATAGGAATGAATTTCTGCAATAGTTTGTTTAACTTGGGTGTGGGGAGGGGGTGCAGAATAGGATAACAAAGCCATCCTTTAATCCAGAGACACTGAAGAACTAACTGCCTTCTATGCTCCATTGCTGTAAGATCTATTTAAAGTCTCAAAGTACTGGGAAGACAATTGACCCAGTATTACAAATATCTTTTACTCTACAACTGGAATTCTGATTCTTCATCACAAGGGACACTTGTTCTTTGTTGTCCATCCTACCATCACTACTCAGACACCATCTACCTTAATGCAACATAACAAGGTATTTACTTTAGCAAATTTAGGAAAAATATAAGCCACAGAAAGATGCAAAATGACCTCCACGTGTGATAGTACATGCCTTTAATGCCAGGAGGCAGAGGCAGGTGGATGTCTGAATTCTAGACCAACCTGGTCTACAGAGTGAGTTACAGGACAGCTAGAGCTACACAGAGAAACCTTGTGTCAAAAATTATATATATATATGTATATATATATATACATATATATATATACACACACACACGTGTGTGTGTGTTTGTGTGTGTGTGTCATGGGTATCAATATTCTTAAGCCACAATGGCATCTCCACGGGTTACCCATAGGAAAATACCTAGGTAGATACATCTCATTTAGTATCTAGTGACTTCATTTGTCTTTAAGTTGTGCGTATTTTGTTCTGCTTGTGTGCTTGTTTGCATGCTTGTCTGAGAACCATGTCTGTGCCTGGTGCCCAAGGAAGCCAGAAAAAAGCATCAGATTTGGTGGAACTGGAATCACAAACGGTTGTGAACTGCCATGTGGGTGCTGGGAATTGAACGCAGGTCCTCTGGAAAAGCAACAAGTGATCTTAACCAGTGAGTCATCTCTCCATTGCTTTATCTAGACACTGTAAGAATGAATGAATGAATGAATGAGTAAATAAATAAATCCTTTTTAAAAATCAAAATCCTTAAAATGATGGCCTGCCCTAAAATGTCTGTGCAGTGGGTGAATAGAGGGGTTTTGAACCTGAAATTTACTCAGCCTCATCTCATTATTTAAATGACTTTTGAATTTCATCAAACAAAACAAAATCAAATTACAATTTTACATTTTTCCAAGTAAGAAAAAATATTTTAATTTTTAAAATAAGCATAAAGAGCACTACTATTACAAAATTTAATTCTTTAAGAAGACTTGAAGAGCTATTTTGAAAAAATATTGCATTTTGAATGTAAATTATGCAGTTACCTCATTATTATTCATATTCAGTGAGAGAAAGACACTAAATTATACTCATGCATATTTTGTCAAGATATTTTAGAAGTCTTCTTACGTATTTGTGTTTTAACTTCTATTCAATTTCCATTTTTGCTGCTGTGTTGGATTTTTATATGTGTTTAATGTTATATCCCTTATAAGTTGATTATTGACTTTTTATTACTAATTTCTAGTATCATTAAATAAGACAAGAAAAATAAGTTGCTTATAGCTTTGTATTTACTTTTAAAGGTATCATTGTATCATCCTCATGCTAAGAATTTCATGAAAAGATCCCAAGTGTCAAAAATGGCAGTTAATGTTCCTATTTAAGAATACACAAAATGATACCTTTGACATGGGCAACTCAGATGTGTGATCAGCAAAACAGCAATTACTCATTGTTTTGCACTTACACATTAAGAACTATGTGACATCTAGTGACACAATAACAAAATAGCAAAGTCAATTATATTTAAAATAGACATCTCAATAAAATATACACAATTGCCTTCTTTTCCTCTTTCTGAATTGTTTTGTTACTTTGCGAACTGTTTACAATCAAATAGAACACGCAAACCTTAACCTTGAAGGTAAGTGATTGATATGCGTGTGTAAAAACAAGCTGGCAAGTACAAAGAGGAAACCTCTTTTGAGGGCACTAGAATCCACCAGTCTACTCCTGTGCATTTTGGGACACATACTTCTATGGTGTTCCTTTACAGGGTCAGTCATAGTGGCAAACTCTGACAGAGCAGGATGCTAAAACTCAAAGCAAAATTTAAGTTAGAGTCACACTGACAATTCGAAGCAGAACTATAGCAATAAAATCCAAGTGGAGACCATTTATGCATAATTAGAGTTTCAGGTAGAGGTCGAAATTTGTTTTTAATCTATTTTAATTGCACAAGAAGCATTTTTGTAACTTCTGCATCCAAGAAATGAATTCCACTCCACAACTAGGCCTGCATCCTAAATTTCACAACTGAAAATTAAAATGTTCATCTAGATAAAATAACTTTGTAATGAACTCTTTTATTTCCTCTCATTTCTCTTTGTATTTTCTGCAATGCAGCCCCCTTGCAATGATATTAGTTCTAGTGTGGGAAAATATTATAATTGAGATCTGGTAAGTTATTTGCAGACTTCAAGTTTTTCTTTACACTGTGCTGACATTTAGTACAGCCCTGGTGAGGAAAACAATACAACCATTCATAGCTCTAGACATAGATTTCAATCGACTTAGACGGGCACAATGAAACTTGGTCATTCACTGGTTACCCATATTGTGTTCTCAAATTTTCTCTCAGCAAAAGTATAATGACTCAGTATTGTATGGTTGCATAGACAAGGGCTCGGAACAAGAGACACTAGTTTTGTCTGACGGTGTGAGAAAGTCGTGAAGGGATCTTTTCTTCCAGATGGTGTTAAATTCAGCTGCCTTTTTAACATTGGCCTTGCACAGCAATCTGCTGCTCGTCTTTCACAAAGGCTGCCTTGGTTCCCACTAGTTAACTTGCATACTCACGCAGCCCGCAACTTCACTCCAACTGGTTTACAATGCAGTGGTATGCTAAATAAACCTGATCCGGTTCCTGCCAATGGTAAAACTAGCTTTCAAAGAACTACTTAACTGATATTTACACTTCTTTTGACTTAAATGTGCATGCCTGCAAAATACTGCAGATTTCAAAGAAATATCACCTTATGATAAGGCCATTGTAGAGAGTATCTTGGACACCCTTTAGACTCATGCTCAGATATGGAAGGTCCTTCAACACACAAAAATAAAACAAAATGTCAGAAGTTTGATGTGTAATAGAAAAAAGAAAATTTGGGACATGTTGCAGCCAGAGCAGTGGAACAGCAAAAAATAAAATGAAAATAACATTGAAATGTATTTTTATTGATCGATAAGTTATGTAACATTAGTATGATACAAAGCAAGTTTGATATGACAATGGCAAACACATAATTTTAATATTGTTTATTTTCCTTAGATGTTATAGTTAACATATTTACATAAACAACCAAGATGTAGGCAAAAACTTCAGTAATTTGACTCCATTGAGTGCTTTGAGTAAACAATAGGTTTCCCCAGCAAACATCTTATTGCCTTAATTGAACCTCCTTGAGAAAGAAAACCACACACTTTGTAATGTAAATGTAAATTGTAGTAGACAATGGTTCTAGGTAAATAGCACCCCTGGACACGGGGCAAATGAAAGGAGCACAGGCCCTTTACAATGAAAGCTTGTTTGCACAAACACTGCTTCAAAGGTAAATAAACATGAGTCTTCTCAACAGTCACTACCACAGTAAAACTTCGGCACGTGTTCAGCAGCCAAACTGAGAAATTGCGTTATTAAAGTCTCAGCTTTTCTAAGTGAAGCTAACAGGGGTTTTACAGACTTTTCCAATCTCAATCTTATAAGAAGATGAAGCAGTAAAGAAAAAATGCACTGTCCCTGAAGAAAAATTATGTATTTGGAAGTAACACTAATTTAGGCCATGTGGAAGATAACAGGCAATTTTAGACATTTTTTATTGCAATGATTGTATTTATGTGCAAACGCCTATAAAAATGTTTGCCTGACAACATGTAACAAAATATAAGGAATTTTAGAAAAGGATTATAATGGATTTCTCCAAAACCTCAAAGTTTATGGTAGGAGTAATTACTTTTAGGTAAAGTCAGAAAGAAAAGAAAATACTGTGTAGACCACATCGTGCTAGGACTGTCCTAAAACTAGTTTTAAACACATTGTGATTGTGATCAACTTTCTACAAGCTGATGGCTTCACAGCTTTTTTTCCAGGATGTAGATTAGCATAAGTAGGCCAAGTTCCTGTGTCACAGAAAGAAGTAAACAACTCGACAAAGTCATAATGAGTGTTATGAGACTGACTTTAAAATATAGCACAGCCCAAACAAAAGTCAAAAGGTAACCACCAGGCCTTAGCCACAGGCTGAGGATTTCTCTGACGGACGTTCTTGGCATCCCTTTCCACCTGCTTTCCTTAGATAATGAAAATTTCAACCCAAGGAGAAAGCCAAATTTAATCATGGCCAGATTAAACAGTGGTTTAAAAATTCACAGAAAGAGTACGTAGCAACTAGCAGTCAGTTGGTGTTGCCATTTGGGAGGCTGCAGATGGCTGTGGGTGGGAAATGCCTTTACTTTCTTAAGCGATGGAGATGAGTATGGTGTGTGTGCTTGATGGTTTTTTTTTCATACCCCTGCCCCCCAACAGGGCTGTCTGTCATAGGCTGCCGACTAGGCTTTACCACTTGCCCCCGAGCGTGGGAATCGGAGCGTCCTGCCGTTCACATCTCCTGCTTTCCGTTTAGCGGAATCAATTAGGCAAGACAGACCCTCAGATTCCCCACCCCCTTTCCATTTTTGTCAGGTCTATATACGTCCTAATTATTTCAGTTTGGGATGCCAGAGCTGTTTCCTGGATAGACCTGATCATCCTTAAACAAAAAGAGAGGAGGCGCACACGTGGGTTGTGGCGTAAATGTCACTTTCATTTCCAATGCCAGGCGCAGAGTAAGACAGAACATTTTTTTAACACTTTGACAAGAGGGGAGGCGATCTCGTCTCCATCATGTCTTTCTGCTTCAGTAGCTTCCTCAAGGAAACCCTCTCGGAACAGAGAAGCATCTGTCCTTGTATTTTGAATAGAAGAATAAAAATCAGACGTCCCCCCTCTCCGTTTTCCCTGCTAGCTCTAAGGCCTCAGGAGATATAAATTATTAACCTTCCAGTATAAGCGTTACTGCAAGTCTAACTTCATAGAATTTAATGTTCAGCCCCAAATACATAGAAAGTTTCCAAGCACAAACTTCAAACTTGAGGGAGGGGCCTCAGAAGGGAACTGCCCAACTCGACATGATTATGGAATCATTTTTAAACGAGGTATCAGGCATCACTGTAACAGCTTTCTAAGGAAAACATTCTCTTATGTAAATGTTTGTTTCAAAATAGAACAATATAGAGAAGTACATGCATCTTCACTCATAAAAACACAACACAATTCTCCTCTAAGTGTACCGCCCCTCTCAAAACCTGGCCCCTTTCAATTTCAGAATGTGTGTCCCTTAATTTCCTTGCATCCCGCTTTTAATCATAAGAACAAAAAAAGTTAGATTCAATAAGCATTCCTGACCTTTCTCGTTTTTACTGTCTCTTGGTTGTAGTCTTTCATTCTTGGCAGCTCTCGGTGATCTTGAAGGAGTTTTTACTTTCGGTTATCTAGCTTTATGAAGACCAATACACTCATACAGCTAGATAACCAAAGATAACAACTCGCTTCCCTCACAAGGCTGTCTTCCTCTGGTTGGACTCCAGATCCCGATCCACTCTGGATTTACACAAGCGTACTCCTCCAGGATATTTGCCGCATTTAAGATTCCTCCTTTCATGCAAACATGACCTGGTTTCTGTCTGAGTGTCTGCGGCTAAAACATCCAAATAAGATCTGTTGCATTCAGAGTTTATTCCAAACTTTTTTCCCTTCCAGCAAGTAATCTCCAGCCGCGTTAGCCAGCAATTCATCTATTAATATCAGAAAGTAAGAAGCAGCAAGCTGTTCCACTGAGCAGCAGCGTCCAGCCCTTTGCAGGGCTCTATTTGCATTGTAAATTGCTTCATTCTCACGGAAGATTCTTTAGCCTTCCTCTACTGAAATGTGTAAAGCCATCGGCAGTTTCCAGCGCTGGTTAAAGAGGAAGAGGGGGGAAATCCCATTCTATAGAAGTGACAGCTGATTCAAAGATCTGCTCCGGATCATTGGGTTAGGCATCATGAGCTTTTACCAAGTGCTGGCAGCTTGATTGCACATATCTTGTATGTGAATGTTTTAGGTGGAGATCCTCGGTTTCTCAGGACTTCTAGGCTCGGGAGAAGATGCTGTCTTGCTGGCGTACTGCTGCCCCCGGTCTGAAAGAAGGAGAAAAGGGCCATCATTGGAAGGGCTTTCACTGCCAAATTGTGGACCAGCCGGGCAAGGTCAAAGGTTTGAGACCGCGGGAGACCAAGGTAATGATGATGTCATGAGAAATCTCAAGTACATGGTTATTGATATGCATCAGTGATCAGCCTACTGCCCCAGCCTGCTGCCAGGAGTAGCGGAGGTTGCTGCAGCGGCTGCAGCAGCGGTGGTGACGACGCAGCAGCAGTTTTGCAACAAGCCCTATTTTCTCAATCATCATTTCATCCACTAGCTCTCCCGACTGTTCCTGGAAAAGCAACCCACGGCCTTTTACCTCTTCGGCGCTAGTGTAGATCGCTCTAATATCCAAAGACTGGAGGAAATCTCTCTCTAAGGACAGATAAAAGCATTTCAGGTCTGGGGAACGTCTTTGCCTGCATTTCTCTTCTGGCAGATTGCATAGGCAGGCGAATGGAAGGCACTTTACTATTGCTTAAAGCAGGGCCTCGTTTCTGGGGCTGGGAATCAGCACTGTAACACACAGTGAGTTGGTGTGTGATTACATTGACAATTTGCGTTGGTGTTGTGCTTTTTAATGGCTTCACAGCTCCGTCATGTTTCTATCTGCGTACCATGACGATAGGACAAAATATTCTGCAAGTTCAAACGGAACGATCTAAGCAGACGAGGGTCATATTTTTTGTAATGACTGCATGTAAAGGGTGTGCACGTTAGAGTGCAGCACAGGCAAACATTGCAGCAATAGTTATTAATGTACACAACTCTGTTGTAGTAAAAATGCGGAGCCTTTGTCCACTGTTTTAAACATCAGATTTCATACCGTTAAAATATGCCTTAGACTTGCTTATGAAATTATGACAAAGTTATTGTCTCCTGAAAATGCAGATAAAACAGCTGGATGTGAGGAGCATGGTGCCCTTCTTGCCCCACCCACTCATATTTCTCCCTATCTAGAAGCAGAATTTAATATGCTAATTGGCTTCATTCATTGCCTTAGAAGTTTTTAAAGTGTGACTTTAAAATCACTTCAAAGGGGCCTTTTCTTTTCTATCCTTTATAATAGATGATTTGTCTAGCACATCTGTAATACCTAACATTCAGATGTGTCTTCACAAAACATCCGTGGTAATCTATGTAAGAGGCATTTCTTCAGTAGATAACATTATGAAGTGTGATTCAAAATTACTAATTATTTTTGGTGGTGTTGCTTTTCTTTCAGTTACATACTAAAAGAGCATTAATAATTCTTAATATCCATTGCAGAAATCACCAGGGTGTCACTATACTCTCAATTCCATGATGTATCTATTTTCCACAAAGACTAAACACTTTTAGATTTACATTTTTTGGAACATACATTTTTCTCAGTAATTCACTAATTTATTCATTTAAGACGTGAATGCTTATTCAATCACATACAGAGCACACAAATATAAACCCTGTAAAAGAGACTGACAAGTTTTTTTATTCAAGAAAAATCTCCAGTGAAGAGTTTTAAACATAATATCACACCAATTAAGATATAGCTGAGTATCAGAGGTTCCAATTTCTCCTTAGATTAATTTGTTTACTTTTATCTTAAGCATTCTTTTACTAGTTATTTAGAAAATATTAAGATGTGTAAAGAACTTACCTATATTTCTTATCAAATCATTAACAAGAAGTCAGATATAAAACGCACACGTCAACTACAATCCAATTTTTAAAACACGTTCATGGAATTTTTGTTCCTTCTTAAACCATATGGTCACAACATAAACAGAAGCACATGCCACTTCTGACATTGTGTAAAGTCCTAATGAGCCTGGAAGCTTGGAAGATTAAGGAGCACTATGGCCTTGCTTTCCAAGAACTAGCAGCAGGGCAATTAGTGATCTGGCAGGTATTATATAAAGCAAGCAAATGATCAAATCTACTCCACTCTGTAAGTCAAAGCCCAAGAAATCAAGAATGCTTTGAGGATCCCCTTTGCTTCCCATATGTCTAGGGCAAGCTATATATTGATCTGTGGGTGGGTGTGTATTATCCTCATTTTTTTTTTAGTTTGAAAATTATTATGACTGTATTCCCATACTTAACAATGACATGTGATTTTAGAAACAGCATCTACAACGAGAGTTAACACACTGAATGTTTGGATGCTTCTGCCATTCAGAACTGCATAGGATGCTGTCTTCAAATAGCATCTTCTCAGGAAAGGCTATGTAGTCATGTCAACTTACTCTAAGCCTGGTCTCCATGTTTGGTATTCAAAACAGATTCATCATGGGAACCCCAATAAGTGAAATGAGCCAAGATAAGGATTATGGGCCTTCTGTTTGTTAGCCATGTTGCAAATTAAATATTTTATTTTTCTATCAACCTCGACTCTCAGAAGAAAATTAAATACACTAAGATTAAACCTGAGTGCCTGATTATTTATAATATTGCAAAGGTTTACAACATGGTTTTTTATATGTATTATCATATACACCTCACAATATGTTACAATCACACAGCTCCACGGAATCCTAGCAATGTCACATGTGAAGAGAAGCTCTCAACAACAAACACACCTTTAAGTCAGGTATTTTTGCTTTTAGAAAGCTATCTGCTGAGCTACAGAATATTCACTTGAAAATCAGTGTACTGAAGGATATATGAATTCAAAGGGCCTTCCTGTCCATTCTCTAATAAATTTACAATAGTAGCTAGTAGATTAGAATGTGACTAGCATGCTTGTTCTGATCATTTTATAGGTCTCCAAATTTCTGAAACATGGCTCAAAGCATTTTGGTTTGCTTGGGAATAAACAATCTCTGCTGGTTAAAAATAAAAAGTTATTATTTCCCCATATTCGAGTCAGAATTAGTCTATTTAATTAATTCAAATACATTTGGTTTATGATCAATATTTAGAACATCTCTAAGTCCCATTTACATTAATGCAAAATACATAAGAACTAGTCTAACACCAGCCCTTTTTAAATATTTAGTTTGTAAGAATTATAGGTGTGCAAACTGTGGTCTATTAGTACAGTCAATACTACTATTGTCTTTATAAAAAGCCATTTTATTTATAGCAATGTCCATGGTTCAAATAATGTACTTACATTACTTGCATTGCAATAAAAGTATCTCACTCTTTCTTCTGAATATGAGCTTCTTTCTTATAGGTTGTTGCAGGCTATATGTGTATTATGCTTTATGCATATACATATATGTATATACTAATACATATTCACAAAGGCTCCTGCAGGAGAAACAACTGAACACACTGAAACTTAGATGTTTCTGGAATTCTATCTGTTGCAAGGGGAAACACGTAATACACTGCAGACCTGTCTGCCAGTAAACAATGCACTATTTTGGTTTTGTACATCAGTCATATTTTATCAAGTAAAAAATCTTAAATTACCTTTGTTTGATTGGTCTATTCATTCTATGCTTCTTTGAAGTCTCATCTGAAAAATAGGCAATAAAACAAATGATCACAGTCTATATACATATATATGTCATATATAGATTATCTTAAAGTATTACAATTACTGTGATTCCTTAAAATACCAAAAGATTATATAAAACACCAGTACTGTGTATCTTGGACCTTAGCACCTACAGGGTTAAATATGCTAATTTGCATTTAAATGGAGACGTGCATGATAATGGAAATGCAAAATGTGCAGAATCTAGAGGGGTTTGGGAAATTAATTTTTCTTTCTCCTTTTATTTTTAGCTTGGAAAGAAGAGAGACTTAAGAAACATTAGGGATTTGAACCTTGTAACCTGCCATACAAAAGAGAAGAGAGAGCCCCACCATGCAAGGATTTTAAGTCTGGAACAAAGTCTTATTTTCTAAATGTTTAAGGGACTGAATTTCCTGGCCTTCCAGACAATGGGAATCCCAGGATAAATGTCTAATCCATTAAAAAGATGCAAATAGTTTACTGTAAGGCCACACAGCACAGTGAGATGTGCATTCATGGCTCCTGATTGGTTCTTTCCTTCAGTAAATCAATGAATAATGTAAAACCTGATTGCTGCAAAGTGGTGGATTTTATACCCTTCCCCCACCCCGACCCTTACAAGCCAATATTAGGAAGTCTTACATACTCCTGAAAATAGGTTGGGTTTTTAAAAGTGATTTTTTTGATGCTTACTATTATTTTGGACTGTAGGGGTGGAGTTGTTGTTTTTGCGAAATGAAAGTACTGCGTCGGTTCAATTATGCTGACTACAGTGGCTCTTTCCTGCCATCGCCCTAGTTACTGGTGCCAAGGTGGAGAGAGAGGTGGTGGGCAGGTGTGGGCACCAAGAGAGGGAGAAAATGGTCTGACTTCATCCTTGTGGGCCCAAGGCAGACACAGCTCTAAACCCTCACCCCACCCCACAGCCGTGGCCGTGACTTGACAGGCCTGAGGTCTAACTTCTGATCGATTCCATACTGAATTGCTCTGACCCCTTCAGACAGTACTCCATTCAGTCACCGTCGGCATATTTGCAAGAGGAAAACGCCGCAGATCCTAATGTAAAAATGCATTGCTATGGTTCTCCTCGCTCCGGATTTTATGGATATACTCCCTAACCACCGAAAGAAGGTCTTGCCTTCACTTGATTTTGGGCTCTAAGCAAACGAAGGTCAGTCTTCGCTCGGATTCCAGAGGTGTCTGAAGCAGAGGAGCTCCAAGTCCCAGTAACTAACCATAAAGGTTGCATTTCGGGTAAAGCTAGACTCGGGATAGCCCTGTAAAGTCGTCTCTCCCCTCCAAAATCCAGAAAGCAGCGGAAAAGGAGAAAATTCCCCATATGTAGTTAGCTATTACACAAGTTTTACACCAGGATCTAATCTAACAGTGGTTTCTGTGTCAGGTAACTGAAACTTTGGGGCGATTCAGAATAGGCAAATTATTCAAAATGAGATCCCAGAATTCAAGAACGCAAAGCACAATTGTATTTAGCACTACATCTAAGAGAAGACCAGCTACCGACACCACAAATTTACATACAAAATTTCTTTTCCCTGCGTGAATTTTTCCTGGCATCTCTCTGCGATTAGGGGTCAGCCCGAAGGATAATTAACAGTCCTGGCTCGGACAACTCACAAGATCAACAGGTTTGGCAAGGGAGACACACAATCAATTAGCTAAAGCAAAGCCCCGGACTGGCCATCGGAGCGGCCCTTGGCAGACTCTTGGTGTGGGTACCGGACAACTACCGGCAAGCGGGCCTAGCGCAGCCGGGGCTTGCAGTCTTTACAGAGCCGAGATACTCACTTGATGTCCTTGCGCCAGGCAGTGTTGTTCCCCAAATCCAGAAGAACCGAAATTGAGGCTCCAGGCAGAAGACAAGATCCAGTCACAGCAGAACATGGCCACAGCACACAAGCAGGCTCCTTTAGGCGTCTCCAAAAAAGAAGGGAAAAAAATTTTTTTTTTCAGATCAGTACATTTAAAACTGCCGCTCAATTCCACATGGTGGGCGATTCTTCCTCGATTGCGTCTAAAATAGTTTACGCTGCTCTTCTCTTCTGAGGGAGAGAGAAGGGCGCAAAAGACCAAGGAGGGGGAAAAAGCCAACTTTCCCCCCACTCCAAGGACTTGCTCCCTGAGCCTCGGAGTGCAGAGTGAAGTGGTGTGTGCGAGGCTCGGCAAGTTTTTGGGGGGGCTGTCCAAGGTCTAGTCCAGCCCCCTCTGCCGAGGAGGACGTGCTCTGAAACTCAACCAATTTCCCCACTGCTTTTGTTACTGATGAACTGAAGCCCTATTGTTCATCCATTGCCACGGTCTTTTTCAGTCCCCACACTACGTTCTGCGTTGCCAGAGATAATGAATTTGCACCCAAACCTCTCATAGTCCCCTCCTGACAGACGGAACAAATTAGAAATGTCTCGTCTCAAGGAGGGGCAATGGTTACATTTTCCTATTGTAGGATGCAAAGCACACGTTTCTTTGGAAACTTATTTTGCCTTTTCTACCTTTTATTTTCTTCTTTTTTTTTCTCTTTACCCCAGCTTTTCTCCTCTTGGTTTCTTAGACACATTTTAAAAAGAATCCCTGTCTTGTTTTCCCAGTGGACCATTTTATTAACTTGTGGGCCTTTCTGCCTCCCTTCCTCCTTTCTCCTTTTTCTCTTTCCTTTCTTTCGGGGTCCCCTTTGCAATATTATTTACAAACTTGGAAAATGACCTTTTGACTTGCAGAGTTTCTTTCTTTTTTTTTTCTTATGAAAAGTCTTTTGGTTCAAGGCCTCCTCCCCCCATTCTGATTGTTAGTGTGTTTCGCTAAAGACAAGGAATACATTATAAGGATTTCTCTTTTCTAAATTCCAGTTTTATTGAAAAGGTACCAGGCATGCATGATAGAGGTTGTGAAGGAAGAAAAGCTTGTGTGTGTGTGTGTGTGTGTGTGTGTGTGTGTGTGTGTGTGTGTAGGGGCTGAGGTGCGGAGGTGCAGGAGGAGGGGCTGGAAGTGTGTAAAGAGAAAGGTGAGGGCTTTCAGGGTAGGTGGGTATCCTGCAACACCAGCAGGAGGCTGTCAGGGGTGCGGGCGCGTGGAAGGAGGGGGAGGCGGTGCAGGAATCTGTCCCGACGAGGGCCGTGTGCTCCCTTGGGCCTATTTGCGCGCCAGGAGCAGGAGGCAGCCTTGGCGCGGTTACCTAGAGCCCGGGGCCGTAGTTAGAGCCTGCGCGACCCCAGGCGAGGAGGGGGCTGTGATCTGTAAAAATTCGACGGCCGCGGGTCTGTCTAAGTGACCCGGGGAGAAGGGAGGCTGTCCTGAGAGTCGCGGACGCCCTGTCCCACCGCCGGCCCCCAGCTTTCCCGCCCAGCGCAGCCGGAGGACAGCCAGCCAAGCGTGTCCTTTGCGGGAGGGTCCCCGCCCGCCGCGCGCGCACGCGGCCTCCGCGCACACGCACGTCCCCGCGCACACGCACACGCACACACTCCCCTCGCAGGCACGCGGCCCAGTGGCGGCGAGCAGGTCAGGAAAACAAAGCTGGGCTGCGAGGTGGAATCCGAAACGGCAGCCCTGGGAGGCTGAGACCGCGGCCTCTAGCGCCTCTTCCTAGCCTACTGGCAGGTTTGTGCCCTTAGCCCTGCTGAGGCCGAGGACCCAACCCTCGCGGCTCCGAGCGGGTGGCGATCGCAGGCGGGAGCCTGTGTGCCCTGGGAGGTGCCAGCGGCCCCCCGCCCGGTGCGCGGGCACACGCGAGCCCAGCCCGCAGGCCTCCCGGTCTCCCAGCACTGCCGCCTCCACGCAGAAGCTGCTGAGCTCTTAGAAGAAAACACCAGGCCTAATCCAAGCCGCAGCCAAAGGGATGGCTCCCACCTCAAGTCCCCGTCTTCAAACAATGCCACAGGAAGGGCCTGGCTGTCCAGGGGAAGCCTTGTGGGCTTATCTCTTCAGAGGGGAAAACTCGAGCCCCAGCCCCGCAGCCTTGGCCGGATAACTCCCCAGATTAGTCACCAGACCTGGCCTTGCAAAGAGTGGTCTTTGCACCCACGTCGCCTCCCTCTGTGCTCACCAACCTAAGCTCCTTCCAATACACAGCACACACACACACACACACACACACACACACACAGACACGTCACTCCCACTACAGTAAAACACTCGCTCCTGGCACTGCTTGCTATTAATGCGGCTGACATGCATAATTTGTTCACAGGTAAACAGGTACCAAAAAGAGAAGCCCTCACCATTTGACTGGGCAATTTACCTTTCCCTACTAGGAACATGTGTAGCAAGCACAGCGTGTTTTAGGAGTGCTTTGCTGGTGTCTGTAGTCTCCCTTTCCTCTTCTTGTGGAGAGAAGAAGGAAAAAAAAAAAAGACTGTCCCATTGTCAATCTTCTTTCTGACAAACGACCCGAGCGAGCGTTGTTCTAAAACACTTGGGATTCGTTTTGTTTGTTATTTGTTGCTTTTGGTTTGTTGTTTTAGGTGTGTGTGTGTCTGTGAGTCTGTTTGTTTCTCTTTTTTTCCTGAGGAAAGAAAAGAACTTGTATTTGGTGGGGCTGAAAGCGCAGAACTAGAGTCTGTGTCTACGAAGGGAAGGCTGGCGAGGCGGGCAACTGCCGCGGGCAGAAACGAGGCAGCGGCTTGTCCTCCCCTGGGACTGGCAAGGGCGCTCGTGGCACCTCCGCTCAGGCTCGGCCACCGATAGATACAGCCACACAGGCTTTCGGGCTCCATCGGTTGCCGCTCCGTGTTTTCCCCCAGCCCGGCTTCACGTTCAAGGTTTAGCTGCGAGGTCACGTCCATTGACGTCAGCTCCCTGTCTCCCTCTACGTCCGGCTACATTTACATACATCAAGGAAATTAGGGCATTAAAAAAATATGCAAATCCTGCGCGAAGAGGAGCGGGTGCATTCCTGGAGCGATCGCCTTTTATTGAAGCTTTTAATTAAAGGGGCCAGTTGGCTAGCCCCTGAAACAACCGCCAAAATCCCCCAAAAGAGAAAAATAAACGCTGTAGCCTTCGGGAACGGTTGTCTCGGCTCCTGTTCTGTGGGCGGCTGAGGACCGCCGGCTGCCCTGCACCGAGAACAGGTTAGAGGAGGCAGCTCCGGCCCATGCATAATCAGGGCTCCGCGGCGCCTCCATTCTTTCCTCCTCCTCCTCCTTCTCCTCCTCCTTCTCCTCCTCCTCCTCCACTCCTCCACCTTTCCTCCTCCTCTTCCTCCTCCTCCTGCTCCTCTTGGGTCCAGCCTATATTATTTTTAATACTGATGCATATGTAAAGATATATTTGCATTTTCAAAAAAATTCCTTGAAAATTTCTGGTTCTGCAGTTTTGTTGATTCCCCTCCCCCTCCCTTTTTCTTCCTATTTTATATGTCTATCTGCTTCTGTTGTCCTTTCTGTCTTTTTTTTTTTTTTTGGCTAGTGTCTGCTGCTATCTCTAGCTAGATTATATACACAGTTGCCTCCCTTCTTTTGTTTACGTAAGATTACAAGTATGCATATGTGTTATGTATGCCATGCCACCTGGAGAACAGCCTAGTTTGATCATAAAAGAAACACATTTCTTTTCTCTTTCTTTCCATACCCCTCCATTGCCTATAATGCCTACCGTTTAGAGGCTCAAAGTTTGATTGTCTGATTAACTTCATATAAGTAGAAACACAGGTTGGAGCCAATACATTTGAGAAAAGTCCGTGTGAGTGAAGGGATTCCAGATTTCTAAGGAACTGTGCTGATTAACTGGGGGAATGCGGTATTCACCACTATTGCTTTCTAGCATTTCTTGTAAAAAAAAAATCTATTTTAAAATGTGTAGACACAGCAATGGACAGCCTTCTGCAAGGAAGACATTTTCAACCATGTTGTGTGTTGTGTCGTGTCTGCAGCATTTCAAATGTACTGAGTTTTAGTTTATCTCAATATGGATGGAAACACATTATCTTGATTGCAAAGCATCCTTAATTCCAGACTTTGAAGTAAAAACACACAAACAAAACAGTTAACTATATTAATCCAGTTGGTGTGCCTTATCGTATCCAGGCCTTGAGTTGGATTTCAAGCATTAGCAATCTTGTTTATAGGATAGGATTTTTCCTTCCTGGCAGCATAACTCTTCAGCACAATGACTATTGAATATATGTATATTTAAATCATATATTAACATTCCCTAAAGCTATCATATAAAAAAGACCCAATCCATAATTGTATAACCACAAAGAACAGAAAATGTGCACACATGCAGCTTTTTCAATTAAACAAGTCCGAGTACATGCACAGGTAATTAGTTTTCCTATGAATGACTTACCTGTAAAGATACACAAGGCGAGACTCAGACTCCCCAGTGGTTTTTGTGTATAAATATTCACAAGTAATTCCTCCCATTTCAAACCTACACTGTATGCCATCTTTAATGTTGGACCGTCTAGCATCCATTTTCAGCACCCTTAATTCTTATGGCATTTTCCAGCTTACCTCTGGCTACAGTTTTTCCAAGCTCATATGATATGTCACCCAATAAAAAGTGGTCAGATGGCTATGCGTAAAACATTAAAAAAAAAATGGAAACACATCCATCGTCCTGGTTTACCCTTACCTTGCCATATATAGCAAGATTACGTTTCCTGAGGTAAAATTTCAGCACGTTTTATGTATAATTGCAGGATTCCGTAACTAGTTACAGAATTCCGGCTGGGGTAGGAGGCACCAGGCCCAATGAATCAATTCAGCAAGCTGAATGTCTGAGTTTGGCTGCAATTCAATTGTGTGTGGCTGTTTGTTCTTGCCTGAGCTTCTTGGCACATACCTGCCCGCTTTTATGCAGGATCAGGACAAACACTCTGGCCACGTTGCAGGGCATAGAGTGTCGGTGCAAGTATTTAGATGGAAGTAGCAAGGAATGTGGAATGTATTGCTGTCTGAGTATGCATGTGTGTACAGATG